ACCAACAACAACACCACCACCACCACCAACAACACCACCACCACCACCACCAACACCACCACCACCACCACCACCATCCTTTTTGTCTATTTTAGTTTTTACTTTTACGTGGTTATCTACTGCAAGAGGGTGAGTCGGTTTCATGGATGTCACAGATTGCGACAACACACTGAGCAGATGGTAACCCAGTTTCGGTGCCAACGGCGTGAAATGCAAACTGTGCAGTCCCAGGAGTCCAGCGTTTTGATAGTGCTGAGCCACGTTTTCGGTTGATCTCTCGTAGAACAGCACCAAACTGGTTGTGGTGTGGGGGCGAGGTAGACGGTTGGTCTAAGTTATAGGACGTGACCTAACTGTTGCAGACAGTGGCATTGTATGAAGACTAACAATGGCGGAATGTTAGAATAGCACCGACATACCTCTAGTCTTTTTGTGTTACTTTCAGTATTCTTCGGAGACCCTCATGGTCGAACGTTTCCAGTCTTCTAAACTCCACCACTCGGGAGAGCCAGGTTTCGCAGTCCTATGCTATCATTGCTCCAGTGGTGCCTTGGAAGACCCGAAATTTCGTCCACAATCTTATTTCTCCCCGTATTCAAATCGTCTTAAGAAGCCTTTGGAGTACGCTTCTTGAGTGGTCTATCCAACCGGTGGGTGGAATCACTGATCTAGATACTTGAAGGACGTGATGTGTTCGATCCCTTGGCCATCGGTCGTCAGCTATTGAGTTTGGTCTGGTTGGCTGGAGATCACAAACATTTGTTCTCGAGGTATTGGCTTCCAGTCTAATTGTCTTAAGCAGTAGAGCTGTGCAATCATGCACGGGATGCAAGTTTTATGGGTCGTCACCCCAGACAAGAAGTTAGAGATAGATATCTACGCGCTTGACCGTATACCAGTTTAGTCTTCTAGTGATTACTTCATCATTCAGTCCATTACGTTGTTGAATCATACTCCCTAGAGAGAAAACACCTGCGTTTAGTGAACATTCCGATTGTTCTTCGCGGTGTAATCTGACACGCTCCTCAGTAAGCCTTCACGAAGTTAGTTTTTATTGGTATTCCATCTTCCTTCATGGTAGTCATGGTAGTCAATAGGAACAGCGTGTTCGGTGAGTTTTCGACTGATCATCGAATATCGCTTTTCCTGTTTGGGATAAGCTACCTGCTTGCGTCAGTCCGAGAAACTTGTGTCAGCCACTGTCTATCCGATGAGTATTGCACTGAACTAGAAAGTTTTCCGTCATCCTTTACGTTGCTGTTTCCACTTTCTTCATAATTTCGGGCCAGTATTTGTTGCGGTCGTTTCTGGCCGATTGGATTGAGGCTGGCTGTTTTTTGCGAGATTTTCCAGCTGGCTCATTTTTCGCCTTGAACACTTGGGTTAACCTTGGGCGTGACGCTTCCCGGAGACGCCGTAACATTATCGAAATTAGAATTTAATAATGCACTTTACAACCCCTCTACAATAATAGCCGAAGCCGAGTTCGAGCTTACGGCACTTTTTCACCCGAGTTCACCACTGAAAGTGGTGTTCGACAGGGTTGCCTTCTCTCTCCTTTCCTATTTAACTTTGTCATAGATATAATTCTTGAAACAGCCCTATCCTCGTGCAGGGATATCGGTATCGATTTACTTCCTGGTGGCAGACTGTCTGATCTAGAGTATGCAGACGACATTGTGCTACTAAGTGACGATCCAGGTAAGTTGCAAGCTTTTCTGGATAGTTTGAGTGCTAGTGTAGCGATGTTCGGTATGCGTTTTGCACCTTCAAAGTGTAAAATGCTACTACAAGATTGGGTTGATCCAGCACCCAGTCTCACCCTAACTGGGGAAGTAGTAGAGGAAGTAGACAAATTTTGCTATCTAGGCAGCTATATCTCACCCGGCGAACGCTGGTTGGGACATGTGCTACGCATGTCACCAGATAGGTTGCCACGGCGAACGATGTTTGCCAAGGCTGGTAGCGATTGGAAAAAAACAAAGGGCGGTCAAGCTAAGACCTGGCATGAGGGTATGAAAACCCTAACCAGGAGACTAGGTCACATAGGCCCCGTTAGGCTCCCTGGCTGAGGACCTCGGGATGATGGTCACCGATGGTTAGCTACACTGAGTGATATGGCTGGGTGTCGCAAACAGTGGCGCTCGTGCATCCACTCGTTATTTTCCTAACACCACTCTATATGTATTCCCCATCTCATTCTATATGTATTACCCATCCTCCGCTTGAATTTGCTTCGACATTCCAATCTTCATTTTGCTCTTTTATCCAAATGGGCAACCAAAAGACAGCAACCAAAACCGGCGCACGAAAGTGCATGGTTAATGGTTGTAAAACTGAAACTGTTCATGAAAATACTTGGAAATAATTTACAAGGCAATATCCACAGTGCCACCCCGCTTTTTATCGAGGGTCACCTCTAGCATTTACACATGACTCATTCATCAAACATATGCGGAGTTCATTTAGGTAAATCACTACTCAGGAGAAAATCTACCACGTCCTCGAGGGCCGACGTTGAACGTCCGCGACCGTTGGTCTGATGTGCTGGTGCTTACCTATTCACGATTAACCATCTAGATAATCCTCTAATCCGCCACTTGGAGATTGGGTAGCATTCAGCCATGCTAGCCGTAGACTTGTGATGGTCCTTGGCCTTCGAGACCGATCCCATTCCTTTTTCCCAACCACCCTCATCAAGCTGTGACCAAAAGCATTTCTCAACACCAGTATTATTCAATTCACTTCACTCATCTCATGCTCGGCAAGAGCTGTATGCTACCGAGCGCGTCCCCAAGTGGCGGATGGGGGAACGTCCACTAACTGGCGGTTAACTGTGAATAAGGTGGGATTATGCTCAATGAATAAGCAGTCGCGGAAGATCAGCGACAGTGCTCGAGGA